CAAAATTTGTCGAACGAACGCAAAATATCACGCGTCCCTACTAGCACGGGTAAAAAAAATTTGGATTTTTTGCCCGGTTTCCGAATGGGTTGTGTACTAGTTCCATGAAAACTCTTCCGAGCGAACGCAAAATGACGCAGTAGCACAGTTCGCCGCAAGCTGGTGAAATAAAAAAAAAACGGAACGCGACGCAAACGTCAAAACAACCGCCCGCGTTCCGCTCTAAATCCGTGAGCGTGAAAAGCACAACGCCAATCCGACAATAGAGCTCGGCCGGCATTCCAATTCGGCGCGCTATTGTTGAGAATAGCGACGCCATTGGCGGAGGGGCACAATGGGCCACGCCCGCCACGCAAAACCCCATTGTCGTAGCTACCTGTGTGAGCGCCGCCCATGGGAAAACTGACGAAAACAATGCGCCGTTTGTCTCGTCTACAATATTGTGTTACCGGCCTTACTCGATATTACAAACCGGAGCACAGATAATATATTCGTCATGTGGACATTGAAGAGGCACGCTCGTTTTGTTCCATTATTAAAATTTGAGCCTGGGAAAAATTCTTTGTTTAAAAATAGAACGAAAAGAATGCAAGAGCATTTATTGTGAATGAGCAATCTGGTTTATTAGCGATGACGATTTAAATTTTATCTCTTTACTCGTTCAAAGTTAGAACTAAACAGAAACCGAGCAAAATCGACATCGCTTTAAACGTTTCGTCGGACTGGCTGTAAATAAAAATCTTCCGGCTGTAGAAAAAAAAAGCGAAACATAAATCGGTTGCGCTGCTAAGTGCCCCAAATGGGGAGCGGTATCTACTCATTTTTCCCTTAAAAGCATCGTTTTTTCGTTTAAAAAAATACACTAAGTGAATCGGACATCGTCTGCGTTAAATACCCATTCGGCGGCGGACATAATATTAACAGGGCTCTGAGTTCGCTACAAACGAAGATTAGTCTGACTAATGTATCCATTTGCGTAAGTTAGTGATGATATTTTTACGTCGCGTGGCGTAAAAATGTCCCCCCTTAGGGTGGGGGCGTCGTCGGTTGACTCTCGACCGGAACACAGATAGCTCCGAAATCTATTTAACCTCGTTAAAGTAAACACAGTTTTAGTTATACCAAAGTAATACTTCATTAAACTATTAATTATGAGTATGATATTCATTATATTAAATATTGTTATGATGTATAAAAGCTATGTTTTTAAGCTTTATAATATTTGTACTATGACGAACATAACGTAAAAAATCAAAGCATGGTTTAAATACGAGATAGAAACAAAACACACATACATAAATACATGGAATACATTTAATATAATATTACTAATAGTTGAAGTTAATGTAATAGCAAAACTTAACACTAGATTATTCGTAACTGTAATGCCAAACTGTCATTGTTAAAATCTAAGAATAATCATTATTAGTAGTTTTAACTCTCTAAACCAGATTAAAACGTGAAATATCGTATAGGTAGATACATCATTTCCATAAATGGCCAGCTTTCATTTAACGTAATTAAATTTGTCTTACAATAAATTATAAAACACTAGCGACCCGCCCCGGCTTTGCACGGGTGCAATGTATAATACATATAAACCTTTCTCTTGAAACACTCTATGTAGTAAAAAAACCGGATCAAGATCCGATGCGTAGTTTTAAAGATCTAAGCATACATAGGGACAGACAGCGGGACGACTTTGTTTTATACGTACTATGAAGTGATATTATAGGTACGACACAGGACAGTACCATTTTCCCGATGCCTATTAAACTTCACTAGACGTAATCAATAACAATCGTAACATCAATATTATAAAATCAATACGTCGAACTTATGTAAAATCATAATTAAAATTCTCTCAAAGAACTCCTCTCATCAAGCCAATGGGGGCGGAATCGAACAACATCTACATCCGAGATATTACCCGTGTTCTTTGAGACAACATCGGAACGAACTTAGCCGAGTCTTTGATATGGGTGGCTCAACAAGGGGTGGGGTAAAATGAACCGGTTACGCGAACGCGGTGGTGAATTAAACTCGGGGTGCTCGCCGGGACAATCTGCAACTTCGCCCGGATTAATTATGACGAAATTAGCGGGGGATCCCACCTTTATACCAACACTAAGATGAGATGACACTGATGTATGTCTCCGATCAAAACGCAATGGCCACTACAGATAACTTATATACCAATATACTATATAGTAATAATTAAAAACTTTCTCGGGAGAGCGCATCGTTTAAAACAGCACTGAAAGAAAGAAACAAATGGACGAGTCGACATTATTAAAAAAAAAATTCAAAGAATGGTTACAGTAGTTTCTAAAACGTTCCCACTGTCCTTTGACCCTGGCTAGATGGACGAGACAACTTTATTGAGGCCACCAAAGTTGTTTGACAACGGAAACTAGACCACTGGCTACCTTTAGTAAGGCAAAAGACTGTCGTATAAACAGTTAGGTACCAAAAAGGCGCACACCAAAAGCCGCGTCGACGGGGCACAGATTAAAAGAGTCCCACGCTTTTCACGTAGCGATACGCAGTCGTCGCAATGTAGTCGCTCGAATTTTTCAAGCTGCGGCAATTCCGTGATCGGACTGACAAAGCCCACCTTAACCGGTGTCAGCCGAGGGCGCGCCTCCGGCTAATTGGCGTCACTTAGCGCGTCCGCGCTATCTATTTAAAGATCGAACGCCCCGCTTCGAGTCTAATCCGTGCGGGCTCGTGGCATTTCCGCCTCCGGTCGCGCGGCAAGCGGGTTCTCTTTTCGAATCTCTAATTGATCGAAACAATGGCGTTCGATTTGCAATTTATTTTTTTTTTGTCTTTTTTTAATTTATTTAACGGTCTTAAAAAATAAATTCAACGTGATCAAAGTTAAACTTGCCTTAATTCAGGAATTAAGGCAAGTTTTAAAAAAAAATCCCTTGGTCCTAGTTGCATTAATTTTAGTTTTAAACACAGTCCTGGCTTTTAATAATTGTCATATACCATTCCTTTTTTAATATTCTTAAAACGTATTTTGTCTCTTACAAGCTTATTTATCTCGTTAAAAGACCTAGTCTACGTGTAAGATAAAATGTATTCTAGAGAACCGTACAGTTTCATTCTGAAACAATAAACACGTTCAAACATTAAAACTTACGCCCCGCAATCAACGTAAAAGATGCACCATAGGGAATTACGGTGGTCTCAACATCAATAAGCTAACGTTATCTTAAAATAGCTCCCTGTTATAAGTGTACCTATGTTCCCTCCTCGTAAGATCTTTGTGACCGAGAAACTTCCAAAGGATCACTTCATCTCCCTTATTCCTTTGCTCAAACAAAACAACAGAAACCAATCAAGTAATTGCTCTCCGACCCCCCGCGCCCGGCGCGGCCCGTCCACCGATAATCTTCGTTACCGTGGACAAATGGGGTCGATGGTGAAGGGGTGGAATACGAATCCCACAACGGGTTTGTGATTTCGGGCCCTCATGTTGCACCAGAGGTTGCGACTCAAATCCAGCTATCGCTCTACGCTAATTTTACTTGTCATCTGTTTACGCACAACGATATTTCAATATAATTAAGTATATTATAAAGATAGTTATAGCAACCAACACATGCAATACATACATGAAGTAAATCTGATTATTGAATCTGCCACCTTTCACTTTGGTAATACTTTGTACAGTATCGATAATTGTTTAACTTCATATATTTATTTTTAAAACATAAATTAACAACGAATGATTGGGTGACATAACAAAATTTTATAAATTTTTCTCAATTAGTAATCAACTACGATTCGAACGTGCATATTTCTTTGTGAATAAAAATGAATGAACACCGCAAATACTTTCCCGCGTCGAATGTTAGTAATACAGAAAAGATAAAAAAACTCACACCTTAACATAACCTCTAAACGTCAGAAATAGAAAATCAAATGGCGCGCAGAATCGAGTCCTAAGTCAAACAGTGAGCGCACATTTACTAGAGTTCGCTCACAAAGGCCCCGCTTGTGATTCAGCTACAGCCGCACGCTGTATAGAGGCAGCCGCGGTACGGATGAAAACCCGGTATCCGTACCGACTTTAAGCGCGAGACAAAAAGCAATTTTCGCTGGAACCGGTATAATGGAGCCGCGGGGGTCACCTCATACCACGCGCAGATAATACGTACCCGGCCAGGGCAGGGGTACCGAGACATACATTCTTCCACGCCTGCGCTGCGCTCTATATGGGTCATATTGTCCTCACATTTACAAGGAGAGCTCGTTGAGAACGATCGAACGCTGCGGTAAAACGCTGCGAAGATAAATGTTCGTTTTTCAAATTGATGCGACATATAGGATGTTTAAGTTTCAAAGTTTTGAGTGAATCGACTGAGATGGACGTCTTGATGTCTATTGTTTAGCTTAGTTTTGGAAGTTATTAATTTCTAAATAAAATCCGCACAATACATATTATGATCACTTGATTGTGAATACATTTGAATATAAGAATATTCTCAAAAATTTACACGTTAAATATCTTTATTAAATACGACGGTGGAGAACGTTACGTGTAATGTTTTAAAAATCGTCAATTTGTCGCGGGACGTTCCGAAACGAGATTTCACGTAAATATAAAATGTCATAAACGTATGGCTAACATCCGCTCTATATTTAAGACGCGGCGGCTATTTTTAGCAACGTCAACATTCGCGTTAAGAAGTTAACGCGGGCGCTCTTCAAACGCCGGCCGGGATTACGCCGTAAAGAATTCGATTGCGCAACATTTGAATCGTAACGCGGGTAAGTGAAAAGAGAGGACACTCGTGAGAACCGTATTCAGATCGCAGCCCGCGTGCGAGAGCTGGGATAATTCGCGGGCTAACGGCGTGCAAATATTAATAAGGTTCCGTCCGAAAACATTCCTCGGCGACGTTTCACAATAGACCGGGCCAATCGAGCATGACGCGCGTCGCGGACAATAGAAAAGCTTTCTACGGCCACGCCTCGCCGCCACAATGGCAACACGCCCAGCCGTCGGCCGCCACGAAGAAAATCTCCTTCGCGAACAAGTGCGGCCGCGTCGCGATTGTATCGACTTTTTAAACGCCCTCAGACTAGATCGCACTCCCACCTGTGCCCCATTGTGGTGTGCGGAGCGCTCCCACAATGGCCCACTGTTTGGGCCGCGGCGCACTGCACTCACCGGCGCCGCGGGCTGGGCGGGGCTTAGAACGAGATGGGCACACGCCGCGGCGGCAACATCAATCGCGGGCGAGACAGAGAGGGCGCTAGGCGGGCGCACAATGCCGCGCGGCGGAAGAGGACGGCATCAGGCCGCTTTGTATGGATTCCCGGCGTTTGTTGCTGGCAGACAATTGATTGCGATGGCCTCTCTGCTGTGGCGCTGGTGGCCGCGCGTGCCGTCGAAGAGCTGGCCCTGGGTCTAGTGGCCGTGTGGCTCAGGGCTGTCGCTGAGGCAGTTGGCAGCTGGTTGGTGGCTCATTGTTGCGAGGGCAGTGACATCAGGTCGGTGCGTCCCTGTCGCTCGCGAGCGAGGCGCGGGGCGGCGTATTGTACAGCGCACGTATTGTGGGCCCACTTCGATCTGCCAGCATTGTGTACCCGGCTCGCGCGTCGGACGGACGTATAGCCGACGGTCTCCGAACGCAGCGTCTCACGAACTGTCGTTACGTCGCCCGATTACGTTTCGGACTGTTGTAGTTCGTTGTGTTTTGTTGTTTTTTTTTTCCGTATGTGCCTGTGACTCTGTAGACGCGTGCCGATTGTGCCGAATCGTCGTGACGGGGCGATCTCGGTATCTATTTTTTGTTTTCGTTTTTCCGGTTTTTATTTTGTTTTTCGGAATACCCGCCTGACGCTTTGGGTTCGTCCGTTTTTGGTCATCCCCGTCTCCGCCTTCAAGCTCATGTTCCGAACGGCGAGAGCAACAATGGTAACATTATTGGAGGTATATATGATTTTATTGTTCATTATGTATTAAGTTACCATTCAAACTAACCCAATGCAGTAGCGTGTGAACCAATTAAAGGCATTCTGTGGTTATCGTAGTTGTATTCACGTGTTGGTTAAATGCATATCATATACTAAAATTTCATCTATTAAGATTAAATATACTTTGATTATAGATACATATCAATTGTTTTAATTAGCATCCATATTTAAATATGACATTGCATTCCAAGACTTCATGGTTGTTTTTGAAATCGCAACTTCTGTTTTATAATAAAATATATTTCTAGACGATGTCTGATCTGGTGATTAATGAATCTTTGGTGTTAAGGATTTTGACTTTAGTGATGAAGAACGCTGTAGTTAAGCCAAACGTATTATTAATTTAAATAAAAATAATTTGCCACCTCATAATTCATTCTCTAAACAAGCACGGTAAGGTGTATTATTTATATCGATAATAAGCTACCTTTAAAGTTTTAACTGCTTCTATTTGTGTTTCGAACGCTATTCCTTTGAGTATTTTAAATGGTTTAGAAAATCAAAAGATAATATTTCGCGGATACGTCCTGTGCTTAATAAAATATCAAGAATATATTTTAGCATGCATTGATTTTACATGTTAGTGGAACCAGTTAGTTAACAGTTAGTTGCAGCAGCCCATTTCAACTTACATCTGCCATTTGAGATTAAATCGTTTTCGAAGTTTTTTCGAAGTCTTTATTTGTCATTAAGAGTCCATTTGACAAAAACATTTTAGAGAATGAATGCGTCGACGATATTCCTTTGGAAAATTGTAGTAATTAACTAGCGAAATTGCAAATAAACTGTTAAAGATCAAGACTAGACCATACATATGCGTTGATAGAATGAAATCTTGCATTGATTTGGGTTGTGTGTGATAGAATATAAGCCAATTAAGTTTGCAAAATTTTTCTGTGCTCAGGCAACAATAAGGCAGAAATAATGAGTCCTTTTTTTATGTGAGAAGGTTGCAATCGAGCTGGCGGTTCACCCGATGTTAAGTGATACCGCCGTCTATTGGCATTTGCAGCACACGGGTGTTGCCAATGCCAATAGGCATGCAGTGGAGGATGCAGATTCTTATAATAAAGTGGGACCTGTCTACCTCACTCACCAGATGAAACGCGGAAATTTAACACTTCCTCTTCACGCCGGTCTTCTGTGGGGTCGTAGTACACAGGATGGACCTGCGCATTCGTGCAACAGCGCAGACGTTTGCGTGGCCCGACCAGTAATATGTTGAATGATTTTTTTTATGTATTTAATCAATAAACCAACTGAATTGATAGAGATATTAATTAATAGTTTAAAGGTGAGCTTTGTCATATATTTTCGCGTTGAGTTGAAAGTGCAATTGCTGAGATACCAAAAATGGTCCTAAAATTAATTTACTTCATATTATTTATTGCTAACCTTAAAAGAGTAACAAAGGGGGGACTTAATGCCCAGGATGTAGTGAAAGCTTATTGTAGGATGCAAAAGTTACAAAATGTTAATTAGTCGATTGGCTTCATTTCAACGTTTCTCAAGAGATCACAGCCACCTTTGAAAAATAATAAATTTTATTCCATAAGCATAATTTTAGTAAAATACAAAAAGAAATAAATTGTAATCAGCGATAACACAACCAAATATGCTGTTAACGCCTACACCTGTTAACTTAAGCTTAAATCGTGGTATGAAACTATTTTAGGGATTTTCTCGCGCTTAACAGGAATTTAAATTCCGAACGTTTCAAATACTTTACAGCATCCGTGATCACAAGATTGACTCAGTTCTTTAACTTTTTAAAGCGCGGCATTTTATCAGCGTTCCTCAATCATTTATTTCGGTAAAATGCGATAAATAATTCTCATTATAAAGTGCAAGAAGTTTTTAAATGCAAGAAATCTTATGATAAAATTAATTCAATGTTTTCTTGCAAACATTTATCGTCCCGTCTCCACGGTAGTATTATACTACAACACGACAAAAAGACCAGACCACAATACCAGTGAAACACCAGACCTCGTGGGCAAATTATCTCTATAAAGTGCGAAAAACACTGTACCGGCTAAATCACATTTACTATTGAATATTTAAGTGACTATTTGATTATTCGACTTAGTTTTATCTATTAAAAGTCGAAGGTAAGATGGCCCACCATCTTCAAGACCACCTGCAACCCATCTGGTGTTGCGGTTGACCATGAGCGACGGTCACTAACCAACCAACAGATGACCACTCGCCCTCTTTCCACATAAAAGGACCAATAGGAAACCAATCGGACGCCTTCTTCAAACATTTGGCTAATTGAATACATAATATTTTTTATACAACTTTATACGCCTATTTTAATATTCCACGCACAAAGGCTCGTATGGATTTATAGCGAACAAAGTATTTGCTTGAATATCGAAATGGCCTCAATTTGAATAATTAACTTTGATTAAAATTTAATGGGTCCAATCTATTGGCCACAATGAATATTTATATATTTTTTCTATAAGCAACATAAAATCAAAGGAAAGTCGAGGGAAACGATATCAGAGAGAAATATGAGACAAGTATGAATCAACGTACAATTATATAGAATTTTTGTGATGCAGCTCGGCGAAAAATATGCGGGTAAAGAAACATAAGTGCATTAAGCTTAAAGTTACGAATTAAATTCTAAGCACTATTAGGAGATTGTACCTATTTATAAAGCCTAGGATGGATTATGTCTACTATATAGGAGCGGCTTCTCCATCATGCGCCAAATTAGAGGATTCAATTCGATTCCCGAGTGGAACTATATTTTAAACAAGAGATCATAATAATATACCTCTATGGTATAACTATAGGTACGGACTGCGTTTAGGTATAGCAACAAAGTAGTTCAGATTAACATTGTGTTAAAAATATACTAATTTGTTGGTTACACGTGCAGTAAGTGTCTTCACTTCGCTTTGTTATGTTATGATAATGACGTGCGTGGGAATTTCTATAATTCACTAACAGCAATCACACACGAGTAGCTACCAACACTAAGAACGACTAAAATGAAATGGATTTAATTTTATGTTAAAAGTTAACAAACGAGTAGATGGTTCACCTGATTCCAAGCGTTTACCGCCGCGCCAAAGGTATGTGAAAGAACAATACTTACACTTCACGCTGGTCTTCTGTGTGGTACCGGGCGAGGCTGCCCAATAATGCCACAGCCGAAGGTGCTGCGTTGCCACCCTATTATAAAACTGGGCCCCAGCTACCTCATTCAACAGACACAGATCCACTTTTTGTGAATCCACGAACAAGCTGTTGCGTGGCCCTACCACAGCTAAAATCTTAGAAATAGAGCATCGAAGTAAACAGTCTGTGTTTCACTTAAAATGATAAGTGAGGAAGCTTTCTGCGTTCCGTCCTCGGATTAATGAATGTAAATAAAGTGACATTTACGAATCGCGCAGCAGATGTAACCATACAGAATCGCGTTTATGTTTCAGTCGCTCGAGTCGCCTAAATCCGTTTGATTTATTGCGCATCTCATTTTTACCATTACGCAATGGAAGTTTGGTTTCAAGACGTTCAAAGATTTGAATTTATGTAGGTTAGAAGAGTGCTCTTGTACTAGATCTGTCTTAGTAGATCTGCGTAAGGGGTTCTGTGTAAAAAGTATAATAAAGTCAACGGTGAGGATAATTAAGTGATTTTAAAATAATTGACAGAAGAGGTGCGTGGATAAGTAAATAGGTTTTACAGTGTAATATATGTATAGTAACAGCCTATACATGTCCCACTGCTGGGCAAAGGCTTCTGTACCCTCCGTATTAGGGCATAGTCCAGCACGCGGGCTCACTGCGGATTAGCTGACTTCACGTCTCTTTAAAGATTTTTTTTTGTTATTATTTCGAAAATAATTGCAGGAGGAACCTGCAAAAATAATTATGTGAGGAAACGATGATTTCCTTCAACTCTGAGCACGTTATAATTCAGCACTTAAAATTAACAATTTCATTGGGACCGGCACTGGGGATCGAAGTCATGTTGAGCAGAACTCGAGCAGAGTATATTGAATTAAAAGCGAGTGCCCGGACAATGAACTATCACGGCTCTTAATATACGTATATGGACCTTTATTTTAAATTGTATAGAGCTATTTAATGTAAATTAAAATGTTATAGTTAACTAAATGATAATAGGAAACGGATGCTCTTAATTTTATCGTTTCTCACGATCAACATCTAGCCAAAGAATAGGTTTGCACAATGCAATGTTCTGAGAACACGTGTTAGTCGAATTTTTACAAATTTTACTTACAAGTTAACCGCTAGAGATGTGTCCCTGAAAGCTTATGCGGAAAGAAAATTTTGTCACATCTTGACATTACCATCAATTCCATTAACCATTAATGAAAAATTGTCAGTGGCAGAGGATGTTCAGCGGTGGACTCAACATGGTAGAATGAGTATGATATAAAATTCTACTTCAACAAAATTTTCAAATCAATTTACAAGCAAGGTACATTTTTCATTTTTATGTAAGAAGGCGGTAGACGAGCTGGCGGTTCACCTGATGTTAAGCGATAAACGCCGTCCATTGACATTTGAAACATCCGTAGAGTTGCCAATGCGTTGCCACCCTATTATAAAACTGGGCCCCGGCTACCACGCTCAACAGACGTAACGCAGAAGTATAACACTTCGACTTTACCTAGCTCTTCTGTGTGGACATGGTACTTACCCGAACAGAACTGCCTATTCGTGTACCAGCGAAAACTGTTGCGTGACCCTCAGTTAAATACATAAATAAACATATAAATAATCATCACCCTTGGGTGGCGTGGAAAAAACTTCAGCGACAGTTAATTGGATGGGATTTAACGAGGCCACAAACGTCTTACCGCACAGCTGCTGTGGTCCGGCCTTGTGGAAACGGGACGAAATCGCGTCGCATTTAACTGCGATCATTGTCGACGCTCTTATAGGTGACAATTGTTAATTGAAACGTGCCGCCGGCCGTGTTGCGTTTCACAGGAACGTCGCATTAACGTACTGTGTGGAGGCCAAGCTGACGTCCAAATTGCCCCGTTCGCGGTTGAAAAATAACGTTAAGCAGCGGGTGGTGAATTGAATTAAACTGTTTCGTTATTGGAAGGAATGTTCCGGGCGACCCGTGAGAAATTCACTCGGAGTCCATTCTATCTTTAATGAACGGTGCGCTATCTCTATGGTAAAGGAGCGACAACGTTGTGTTAAATGTTCATAGGACAAGTAAATTTTTTATGAACGAAAAACAAAACCGTCTTCAAATACCTCGCTCTGTATTCCTTTGTGTAATTGATTTCGGGATTTCCCTAAGTATCTCCGGAGATACGGAATCTTGGGCTCCGGAGCCTAAGATTAGTCTGAAATACAGTCGAATTGAGAACCTCCTTCTTTTTTGAAGTCGGTAGAAAAAAGAACGTGAACTTATCATTATTTAAACCCCATTTCAGCTTATGCTAAAGGTCAAAAAATATCTAGTTAATATTACACATAATATAAAGTTAACCTCGTCTACCGGAATAAATGTTATTAATATGAGATCAAACATCTCATGCCAAAAAATAATGGACGATTTTGGGTGTATAGAAAATTCAAATTTTCCCGCAACAGCATTCGTAGACTAGAGATCGCTAGATTATAACGATGCTATATTTGCATATCTATTTGAATCAGAAGCGCTGCCGTCACCTCTGCAACTCTTAATGCCTACAGACGGAAATACAAGCGTTATTTTATTACTAAACACGACCAAATAAGCGAGGCATTATTGCTATTATTTCCATTGCATAATAATTTGCTACACATTAATTAATATTTTATTTGAGGCTAATTGTTTGTTATAAACTTTATAATGTATTTGAATAAGTTGCTTAGTCATCTGAATACATTTCGCTCGTAAATTATTCTATTGCCAGGAATCGATGTGTTGTGCTCGTATAAATCATTATGGCGTTAATAAACCTCAAACGATTTTTTGATATTTTAATCTCGAAACTCAAATCTCGTTAGGAACCAATCACTATTTGAGTTTCAATATTTTGTCTTTTTGGGCTATTTAAATTTAAATATAAAAAATTGGGATAATAACACGACTTTGGGACCGTGCTTCCAATCCTTCCTCCATTATTTGGTGTCAATCGCCCGAATTAAAGTATAAAAGAGAACTTGTGTCATGTAAAAAGGTTTCGTTAAAAACGTTATAGAGAGCTATATATCTATGGAAAAAACATCAACAACCCCAATGGAAATGTGTGAACGAAAAATTAAATATCGCAAATCGAAAGACTGTTCTAGAAATCTCTCACTTCATCTCACAAAAATACTGATTTATTCAGGACGTCACGCTTAATTGGCGACCACGCGAATCAATACTTGAAGTTGGATTAAATCTAATTGATGCTGGTACAGGGATTTTGTAGTTACTTGAGTACAATTAAATAAAAGGTGAAAGTATAGGACACAAATTTCCCACGCGTCTTCTACGAGTTTGCTAATACTGGATTTATAATGAATGATATCATTGTGATAGATTATGCGTTACCTGAACATGTTTTTGGTACCATTTTCTTCAATTTTGGAGTGTTTTAAAGATTAGTCGAGTTTAAATTTACCCAAAGTAACATTATAATGTCGCATAAAATTGAGTCTGTGAAAACTTTTCCCAGGTGTCGTCCTTCGAAGAGCGTGTTGTAACGCCTGCAATTGTTTTTAATAAATATTATTCATCGTATTAACCAACAGGAAACCGTCTCACATATTTATATTAAACAGTGCCCGCAATGAAAACAGTCGTAAATCCAATCGAATATAAACCCTAGCGCGCACCGGATGCTATGGATATTAAAAAAAAAAATTGTAACTATTTAACCGAACAGAAATACTATATAGGCAACGTCAAAGATGGTGCAGCCGTAAACACGCGAGATGCGGTCGATTTTATATCCTATTTATCGACTTTTAGAGAAAAATCCATCGGATGTGGTAACGCCTTTAAGGAGGCAACATTCATACGAAGCGCCGCGGCTCTTTGAAAAGTATTTAAAACGTTATTTAACGATTCATAAGTTAATGAATTGATGGTCGTTACGAATTCAGCGTATCGCTCGTTTAATTTCGGCGCCTCTCCTGACGTTCTTGTGCGGAGATCTGTTCTTCTTGATCTATGGGTTAACGGTTTATTTTATTGCGATTTTGCAAAGTTCCGAATGGCCATATCGGTGTTTGCGTATGATTCGTGTTTATGCTAGCCTAGTAAGCAGAGTTGCGTATCGAAAGTCGTTATAGTGTAACAAGATTTCAAGTAATTAAATAACACGGGCTGTTTGAAGTTATCTTCGATCAGTGGCGTGTGTTTTGTTAGACGTAAACTCATCGTAACATATGAGACAGTTTAATTTCATTGAGAATAGTATAAATAAAACAATGATCAATATATACTCTAATTATGACGCTGTAAAAATTTGATTAAATAGGTAAAGATAAACTTTTATTTCATTGTTAATAAAATATATAAATTTCATTCAACCTGAAACCAACAGACAATGTTCAAGGTGATGGGGATTACGATAAAGTAATTTCAAGTTATATAATCATTCGAAATCAACAATAATTCACGCACGACCTTTAAGAAATATGACCGGTGACAAACCGTCCAAATCGCGCAGGTATGTCACGTACCAATTTACAATTGTGACACGTAATTGACGTAACTCGGCAGCGTTATACACTCCCTACGCCCAGCCGCGTCGTACGCGGATTTTTTAAATCAATTCCCGTCACGTTTCCGTGTCGTCGCTTTGTTCCTCTATTGTAAATGTCTGCGAGGTAACGTGGTATGGTAAACGAACGGAATTTTCTTATTTCGCTGCCGGCTCCGTTGCGTTGCGAAATCGCTACGCGGCTTGTAGCTACAGCGCTTTATGTAGACCCTAAATTTCGAATTTATCTTCAAACTGCATCAGTGAAGTATAAAACGTTTAATGTGAAGATTAAATCATACATAGTTGCGATATAAATATTATTGAATTCAGTGATGTCTTACCGTCGAGTTACAATTTCCTGTAGAATTTCTTTTTCATATCTTGTTAGATTGGATTGAATCAATGATTGATTAAGACGGAATCTTCAAATGTAGCATCGTTACATTGATACCAGAACGACTGTGGTAGAGCCACGCAACAGTTTTCGCTGTTGCGCGGATGGACAGGTCCATCAGGGTAATTACCAAGACCTCACAGAGGACCGGCGTAAAGTAGAATTGTTAAATTTCTGCGTTTCGTCTGGTGAATGAGGTAGCTGGAGCCCACTTTATTTAAAGGTGGCGACGCTTCTGCAACCCTACGAGTGTTTCAAATGTCCATGAGCGGTGGTTACTACTTAATATAAGGTGAGCCGCCAGGTAGTTTGCCACTTTTTCACATAAAAAAGACAGACCTCCATACTAAGTCCGTACGAATTTTTACCCTTGCTCAAAAATGCATTTTATCAAAATTTTAAAAGTTAGTTACAGTCAATTGCTTTAGCTGCATTGTTCTTAATTCGTCTGGGGCTGCTTAAAAACAAATTCATTCGGATTTCACAGCGAATAAATTTAATTGTAACTATGACAATAGGTCTCCCCTGTTCGGAACCCTTCAGCGCTGTCGATTCCCTTAGACAACAGTCTTCCGCTTCTTTCGGGAACAATCTTGGCTGGGGACAAATGCTGATGCCCCGTGGTACAAGTAAGGCACTGTAAGCGTGGTATAAAATTGCAACACATTAGCTATATAATATAGTATATCAAGTTGTTTTGTTGCCTGTACTACCGCGTAATTATTGCCTTGTTTCATTTACAACTTTGTCTTCAACCACTTTAATTTGCAGACGAAAATTTACGGTCTAGCGACAGACCGCCTCGGAATGTCTAGTATGCATTAAATATAGCAAATTAGTGAATTAAACCTAAGCTTGGTCGGTAAAGATAACGACAATGGTATACGCGCCCATATAAGAACATTAACTTTTAATGAAATATTAAAAGGGGACGCGAACATAACATTCCTTTTATGGAGTACCAGTGTTATATATTAAAATGATATAATCGCAGTATAACTGCATGATTCCCATGGACGTATATATTCTAAAGTAAAATAAAAATAACAAAGTATTATTCGTTTATTTTTTACTAGCGAGGAAATTAATTTTATGATTACCGAGCGCCTTTTGACTAATCTGAATGAATATTCATAAGGGAACGAGAGAGGTGCGGATTTATACCCAGAAACACGATAAAGTCGGTAATCTGCGAAACTAAAATGTCAAGTTTTTAGTCAGATACTTGTGTTATTTCACAAAACTTATAACGCTAATAAATCTTACGAAATTTAAAACTTGTGACCTATGACTTGGTTAAATTAAAAATTTAAAACAAGTCCTCCTTATCCGTAATCAAATGTTACTAGGCTTTACTGTACATTATGGTTACCTATATTTTACTATGCTATCAAATCTTTAAGGTCAATTTACCGATCAATCGCTACCTTTCATGTATTGCACCGCAACAGGTTAAAAATTGTTCTAAGAGGGTTGTAGGTGCAATCTACTTTTGGTTGCTCATTGTTCGCCGGCGCGGACCCCTTCCTTATACTAGCACGTGTTTTATTGTTCAATTACAAGACAAACATAACGCGTTCACCGCATGAATACTAAGGAAGTTCTATTGTGCAAGTGAAAAGAGGCTAGAAGCTTGAGTAAGCTTCTAACAAATGCATTCGTGAACTCGATTAAGTTCACGAATACACCACACATTTGATCATTGGTTTATGGCAAGTACAATTATTTAGACACCTACTGTAATTATCACATATCAATTGGGAGACGCACGCCTTTGTTTGAGGTGCTCTGCACATGGCTTCATTAGGTTTCAATGTTGCCGTACCTTA